GGAGTGACCATTTGGAACGCGTTTCATGCTAAACGATCTCAAGCAATATGTTCAACGAAGTGACCTTTTGGTTTGAAATTTAGACTATATGATCACAAATATCAAAACCAATGAAGTGACCTCTTGGGATCCAATTTAACCTACCTGATCACAAACCTCAAGTTCATCGGAGTTAGTTTTGGGGGTTCAATTTAGGCTACGTGATCATGAATAATATTTTCATCGGTGTGACACTTTGGGATGCATCAGGCCATGTGATTACGAACAACAAGTTAATCGGTGTGACAATTTGTGCAACTGAGTGATCAATTGTGATGCATTTTAGGCTACGTGATAACGAATAACAAGTTCATCGGAGTGACCATATGAGGCTCATTGAGACTATTCGATCACCAACAACAAATTCCTCGGAATAACCATTTGAAATGCACTTTATTCTATGTTATTACGAACAAAAAGTTCATTGGAGTGACCATTGGGGATGCATTTAAGGCAATGTGATAATTATTAACAAGAAAGTCATTGGGGTGACAATTTGGGATGCATCTAAAGCTATGTGGTTATTTAAAACAATTTCATCAGAGTGAACATTTAAGATGCATTTAAAATGTGATTTTTAATAACAAGATGTTCATTGGAGTGACGATTTGGCTTGCATTTAAGGATATGCGATTATTAATAACAAGTTCATCAACGCGACCATTCAGAAGGCATTTGAGGCTATGTGATTATTAATCACAATCTCATTGGATTTAACATTTGGAATGCTTATAAGTCTGTATGATTATTAAAAATAAGTTCATCAAAGTGACCATTTGGGATGCATTTAAGGCTATGTGATTTTTAATAACAAGTTCAACAGCGCGACCATTTAAAATGCATTTGAGGCTATGTGCTTATTAATCACAAAATCATTGGAGCGAACATTTGGGATGAATTTAAGGGTGCATGATTATTAATAATAAGTTCATCAAAGTGACCATTTGGGATGCATTTAAGGCTATGTGATTATTAATAACAAGAAGGTCATTGGAGTGACCATTTGGGATGCATTTAAGGCTATGTGATTTTTATTAACGAGATTTTTATTGGAGTGACGACTTGGGATGCATTTAAAGCTATGTGATTAAAAAAAAACAAGTTCATCAGAGTGAGCGATTGTGAATGCAGTTAAGGTTAAAGGATAATTATTAACCAAAAGTGACAATTTGGGATGCATTTAAGGCCATGTGATTATTAATTTTAAGTTCATCAGAGTGACCATTGGGGATGCATTTAAGACTATGTCATTTTTAATAACAAAAAGTTCATTGGGGTGACAATTTAGGATGCATTTAACGCTATGTGATTATTATTAACAAGTTGTTCAATGGAGTGACGACTTCGGATGCATTTAAAGCCATGTGTTTATTAATTTTAAGTTCATCAGAGTGAGCATTTGGGATGTATTTAGGACTATGTGATTATTAATAACAAGAAGTTCATAGAGTGACGATGTGGGATACATTTGAGGCAATCTAATTAATAAAAACAATTTCATTAGAGTGACCATTTGGGATGCATTCAAGGCTATGTGATAAATAATAACAAGAAAATCCTTGGAGTGAAGATTTGGCATGCATTTAAAGCTATGTGACTAATCATAAAATTGTCATTGGAGTGAACATTGAAGATGCATTGAAGTCTATGTGATTAATAATAACAAGTTCATCAGAGTAACCATGTGGTAAACATTTATCGCTATGTGATAATTAATTACAAGTTCATTGGATTGAAGATTTGGCATGCATTTAAAGCTATGTGACTAATCATAAAATTGTCATTGGAGTGAACATTGAAGATGCATTGAAGTCTATGTGATTAATAATAACAAGTTCATCAGAGTAACCATGTGGTAAACATTTATCGCTATGTGATAATTAATTACAAGTTCATTGGATTGAACATTTGGGATGCATTTAAGGCTATATGATTGTTAATAAGAATTTCATCAAAGTGACCATTTGGGATGCATTTAAGGCTATGTGATTATTGATAACATGTTCATCAGCGCGACCATTTAGAATGCAATTGAGGCTATGTGCATATTATTTACAAATTCATTGGAGTGAGTTTTTGGGATGCATTTAAGGCTATATGATGTATTATTGCAAATGTTACACAAATTCAAAAGGCTATTGTTTTAGTTGTTTACATAAGATCCGAGTGGGCTCTTTTCTTTTCTAATTTTGTTCACACTTCAAAATAAGAATCCCAGTCGGACGGAGTGTCTCTATTGTTTTGATTTTGAAAATAGATAAAACCCCTGCTGCTCTGAATTTTAAAAGCAGGTGAAAATATTGAGAGTTCCCTCAGTTAAAGTAAATATTGATTTTTTAATATGAAAAATCGATAAAATGCAAATGTCAGTCTCCTGATCAAACGGTGGATAAGAGATAAGGAGAGGACTGAAGTCTAATAGCAGGTGCAGGGAAAACCAAACTAACATTGTTTCGGATTGATTCTACCTGCTTTTTTCAAGGATTTTAATTCCTTACGCTGAAACGGCCAGCTAAAATACTCTCAATTGTCTTCTAATTTTTCTCCTTCTTCAAATTAATAAACCTTAATTTGTGTTAGATTCAATTTTCACAATAAATAGATTCACTCAGAATTTAAACAAATTTAAGTGAAGAAATTTATTAAATCAAATTTAATGGACCGAAAGGAAAGCGAATTACCACAACCCCAGCATCGGACAATACCCCAACTGACAGTGAGGACTAGACAGTACACCCTTCCCAGCAAGGATTGAACACCTTCTCGGCATCTTCTCTCCGCTACCTTCCAACGAATATTGTAAGAAATAAAAACAAAAATAATTTGATAAAATAAACATCCCCTCCTATTGGTAAAAGTTAACAAAAGATGAACAGTTGTGCATAACACTTAAACTTTGTCTATTTAATCAATCTTTTTAACTTATCTGTTTATATAAATATCATTTTAACTCTAGGATCAGATTGACTATGATCTATGATATAAATTAAGTGAGACTTGAATTTAAATTACTAATTGAAACAAAGGGATCTAGCAATCGAATCCAGCGTTTCTTTTAGTAAAAGTGGTGCGACCAGTTGTTTTTTGAAACAGCTACAGATGATGAAGAACCTTATCAAAGTTTACTGCAAAAAGATGAAATAGCAACATGTGAACAAAAGCATGAGAAGATAGCAGAAGAAAAATTAGACAACACCATCCCATGCAAATCTATAAATGACAAAGATTTGTTCTCTAAAATTTTGAACAAATTTAATGAGGAAGGAAAATCAAAAAAATCTCAACACAAAAACAATTAAGAAAAAACAAAAAAATGATCCAGTCTTAAAAATTATGAAACATTTGGTCTAAAAAAACAATAAAGATATCAATACCATCCATCATAGACAATTCAAAGCCTTATCGTCATACATGAAAAAGTTCGAAAGTTTGTTATAAACAGGAAAAATTTTTTGACTTGAGCAAGCAACTGATAACTCGGAAATAAACGAAATAAAATTTGTGTTCAACTGTCATTCTTCATGAAACCATTTGAACTTGCACAAAAACATCAAATGTCAGGACATGTAGGCAAAGATAAACTTTAGCAGACCTTAAACGTTTTTTATTTTGGCCAGGAATGTATAAATGGATAATACATCTTTTTGCAGGATGTCTTGATTGTCAAAAAAGTAAACAAAAACGACACGATCTTAATGAAGCACCATTGGAAAAACGGACAGACCCAATACCTTTCCCATTCCACACAGTACACATTGATAGTACCATAAAGGACCTATTAATCCACCATCAAATGAAAAAATGGAAATAAACTTCAACAACAGCAACTGAAACAATCAAGTCTTTAGCAAAATTAATACTTACATTTGGAAATCCACAAAAATTGGTGTATGATAAAGGAACAGCTTTTATGAATAAAGATTTCACCAGTTGGCTCCATGAACTAGGAAAAACGCACGCTCCTAGAACAGCTTATTCACCATGGACAAATGGTAAAACTGAAATACAAAATAAACAATTAGGAACACATTTTACAATATTTTTTGAACAAGCTAAATGATATTGAGTAAACTGGCCCAAAGATTTGCGTTTGCGCATAGCACAACAATCAATGCTAGTACCGGTTTAACATCATATGAAATTGTGTTCGGCCAAAATCCACAATTACCACTTTCTCTAAAACTAGAATTACTAAGAAACTCAGAGTTAACTTGTAATTCTGAACTTTGTCAGAATCTACCACTCGAAAGACACACTTTACAGACATGAACCAATGAAACAATCCAACCACTTCTAAAAAGCTAACTAAATATTACTATCGAAAAGAAATCTTTCGAAACTTTACTACAGCTAAATTTTAGCAACCTTCAACGACACATCATGAGAATCTTTATTCTTATGTGTTTACTCTCAACAAGCATCCAAGAAGTTTCATTTCAAAGTGAAGAGCTGGACATTGTA